ATTGAATCTAAACACTAAAAGACAGTCTAATCGCAACCATTGTCATTAAAAGCCCACCTGGTTCGCTAATGCCCTTTGAAGGGAGGAAACTGCCTGCTTTACCTGGTCTGGCCAACACGTGACTGTAGAAACACACAGCAATGCGGTTAACTCTGAACTGCCCTCTGGGGCAATTAGGGATGGGGCAATAAGTGTAGGCCTGGGTGGCGATGGCCATGAATAAATCAAACAAGGTACACTGGACCCTGAAGCTTCTAAGATTACTTTACCCTCCAGTCACAGGTTGACCCTGGTGGATAGAGGTCATTGGCGACAGGTCACGCTCATTAACCAAACAGCGGGCACTCACCTTCAGGACACTCGCAGTGGTAGTGCCCAAGGCCATCGACACACTTTCCTCCGTTGAAGCAAGGCGTGCTGGAGCACTCGTCGATGTCGATGCTACATCGCTGCCCAGTGAATCCTGGGATATGGGAGACAACCAGAGGGTCAAGGTTCACAGGGTCACTCACGCAACAGAGCTGGCGCGAGGTCAAGCAAAACAAAAACCAGGGGAGCACAGCAGGTTACCCTCCACCTGCGTGCCAGTGTTCAGTACACGCACTGCCAGTCATTGGCATGTTGTGCCAGAATTGCTTTGTAACAAATTAAAGCCTTGTGTAAATCAGCAAATACAGTGGCTACAAGAGCAGGTCAGAGGTTAGGAATAACTCCCCTCCTGACTCCCCAAAGCCTGTCCACCATCTACAAGGCACAAGTCAGGAATGTGATGGAACACTCCCCACTTGCCCTGGATGGGTGCAGCCCCAACAACACTCAAGAAGCTCGACACCATCCAGGAGAAAGCAGCCCGTTTTATTTCCATTCACCATAAACACCCATCCTGACCATCGCTGAAGCACAGAGGCAGCAATGGGTACCATCTACAACATGTACCTCACTAACTCGCCAAGGCTCCTCTAAGAGCACATTCCATGACCACTTCAATCTGGAAGGACAAGGGCAGCTGGTACACAGGAACACTAATGCCTGTAAGTTCCCCATCAGCAGGTACACAGGAACACCAACGCCTGTAAGTCCCCCATCAGCAGGTACACAGGAACACTAACGCCTGCATGTTCCCCATCAGCAGGTACACAGGAACACCAACACCTGTAAGTTCCCCATCAGCAGGTACACAGGAACACTAACGCCTGCATGTTCCCCATCAGCAGGTACACAGGAACACCAACGCCTGTAAGTTCCCCATCAGCAGGTACACAGGAACACCAACGCCTGTAAGTTCCCCATCAGCAGGTATACAGGAATACCAACGCCTGTAAGTTCCCCATCAGCTGGTACACAGGAACACCAACGCCTGTAAGTTCCTCATCAGCAGGTACACAGGAACACTAACGCCTGTAAGTTCCCCATCAGCAGGTACACAGGAACACCAACGCCTGTAAGTTCCCCATCAGCAGGCACACAGGAACACCAACGCCTGCATGTTCCCCATCAGCAGGTACACAGGAACACCAACGCCTGCATGTTCCCCATCAGCAGGTACACAGGAACACCAACGCCTGCAAGTTCCCCATCAGCAGGTACACAGGAAAACCAATGCCTGCAAGTTCCCCTTCAAGCCCAACAAGAAGCTGACTTGGAAATATATCGCTGGCATTTCTTCCTATACTGGACCTCCCCGCCCAAAACTCTGTGTGTCCCCACACCCCAAGGACTGCAGCGGATGAAGAAGGCAGCTCACCACCACTTTCTCGAGGGCAACTAGGGACGGGAATTAAGTGCTGGCCCAGCCAGCGACACCTGCATCCCGTGACTCAAGATACCAGGCAACTCTGGAACTGCCCACACACCCCTGTCACAGCAGGTTCGAGCGAGACAGCTCAGCAATGTCCGACGTCACTCATCCCTTACCTGGAGGGCACAGGCAGTGCACGCCATTCACCAGATCCTGACAGACCCCGTTGTTCAGACAGGGATAACTTTGGCATTCATCAGTGTTGATCTCACAGAACAGGCCTTCATATCCTGAGGGGAGAGGAGACACGTACAGCTGAAGAGGGTTCCCAGCTCACCGCAAGGATCGCCAACGCAGGCCAGGCCCTACCCTAGAGGCTTCGTCACATGACCCCCACCGCTTGCTGACACACACGGCCCACCCACTGCCTCACCTGGACTGTTTCCTTCCTCACAAACTGGTTGGATAATTCTAGCATATCAGTCAAACAGATCTTGTCCCAGTAGAAAAGTGGGTTTGTTGTAATCATGCCTGTGAACGTCCTCCCTCGGTGTTTGCACACCAACACTGCCCTGTAGATTGGCCCTCACCTCCAGGAGATACTGGGGACATTCTACACCGTTGGTGACCGTCAACCTGCCCACTTCAGCACAAACTGGTCGTGGAGTCCTGCAGAGTCCTGCACTTCACTCAACCCAGCATTCGCTGCTGACAATGTGGTCTGTCCTACACTGGAGAGGCTACGTGTAGCGTAGGTGATCACTTCACAGAACGCCTACATTCTGTCTGTAAAAATGACCCCATGCTTCCAGCTGCCTGCTGCTTTAAAAAGCACTGTGTTTCCTACAGCAACATTTCTCTCCCAGGTCTGCTGCAGTGCTCCAGTGAGGCTAGACATAAGCTGGAAGAACAATAACTCATCTTCGCCTCAGTACATTACATCCTTCAGGACCAACACTCGAGTTTAATAATTTCAGAATGTGATTACCCTCTCACCTGCTCCCAAACCCTGTAAGTCCTGTCCTGTCCTGGAAACGATGATCCCAGCATAGCTAACCCATTTTCAAAAATTCACACTTCTTATTAACACCCCATCCAGCTCAACAACACAACAATCTCACACACACTAGGCACCATCTCCATGTACTTTTTTCTCTCTCCACCCGCTCCCCCCGTCACCTCTCTGTCTTCAGCACAGATTACACTCGCCCCAAACTACATTCAATTCTGACAAGCAGTCGTTGGAGTTGAAACATTGACTCTGCTTTCTGTCTACAGATGCTGACCTTCTCCAGCACTCTCAGTTTGTGTCTGAGATTCCAACCTTTCCTGCTATGCCAGACTTGTCCTTACACACCATTCTGATGGTGATCTCACCCACCTCTCTGACTGTGACCAGACTGACCATTCCACCTGTGACTTTACCCACCATTCCGACCATGACCTTACCCGCCATTGCGCCCGTGACCTTACCCTGCCATTGCGCCCGTGACCTTACCAGCCATGCAGATACACTTGAACTCGCCGATCTGATCCAGGCACGTGGCCTCATTCCTGCAGGGATTGGACCGGCACTCATTGATGTCCAGCTCACATCGCGCGCCCGTGTATCCTGCCAGGCAGCGACACTCGAAAGAGCCCACATTGTTCACACAGCGCCCGTTGAGCTCACAGGGATTGGCATCTGCACCAAGAAGATTACAGGATTACGTGAGGCTCTGTTCAAAATGCAGCCGAGGGGTGGTGCTGGGGCAAAAACAGTACAGTGGAACCCCAACTATGGGCGATCACAATACTCCGTAACTATGTACAGTACTGAGTGTGTTGGCATCCCCTAATGGTGTCTATTTTTGTCCTGAGGAAGCCAGCAATCCACAACCATTTTTGTACTGAGGAAGCCAGCAATCCATAACCATTTTTGGAACAGATAGCTCCCAGAGTTTTTGGAAAGCAACATTCGATTCCTGCCCAGATATAGCGGAGGAAGTTATTGAAAGGTTTTTGGAATAGTTCGAGACTCACTGAAAGGGGGTTTGAAGGTTACAGGCAGCGAATGAGATAAGGAGATGGATAGATTCAGTGTGGCGGAATCATTGAGGAATCAGGAGCAGTTGGTTGGCTTTGGGTTGCCGGAACTCAGGAAGAAATTCCAGGAATTAGGAGGCAGATAAGCCAGAACTCAGAGGACTTCCTGGGGAGTTGAGGAAGTATTAGAATCACGGGCTCTGTGTTGGGAGATGCCGTTGAAAGGGTTAGGAAATAAAAAGCCTTGGGCATCAATACCTCAGTTGTAACAAGACTGAGGCTCACGGAAATACCCAAAGGGGCAGGACTGGCTCCATGAGGCTGGACATTGGTGAAGAGCAGGAGGTTTAGCCATCAATGAGTGCAGAGGAGCAGTTTCTATGGTCCAGACGGTCAATCAAGTCCAAATGCCCAAATGTGAGGCATTATAATCCCCTTGCGACATCTAATGAGATTTCTTGACACATTGTGCCATTAATTTCTGGGGTGCAATTGGGAGGAATCTGTGGCATTTTCTTCAACCTATTTGCTACGTGGCTTGCCTAGGGAGTTCGGTCACAGTTTATTGCTGCTCCGAAGGTGCAAAATAAACTTTTTGCTCGGGATCGCAGAATCACTTCCTCAGCGGGTGGCCTTGACCTCACGCTTTTCCAACTTTGAAAAGAAAAGCCAGCCGTTCGGCGAAATCATTTGGTGGGGTCTGGTTTGGGATCAGTACACGAGGGAGCGCAGCTCCTTCAGGTCACTGATGTTGACGCAACAATTTGAAAGGGCCTGACAGAGAGGTTACTGGTGTGCCTGCACCATCGAGGCCAAGGCGAACAGAGCTGAGGAAGGTTCCAGAAAAGCGTATGCGTCAGAAGCTGGAATGGCCGCAAACTGCTGACACATCAGAAGTGATGGCTAAATCCTAAAGGGGAATCGACCTGAGGACATCTCGAGCTTCGAAGCTGAAATCGCTGCTACATTTGCCGAAGGGAACCCGGTGAGGTCCACATTTGCAGTGCCTGCCATTTAACATGTAATTTGAAATCCCTACATGCCATAATCTTTGCCTTTATGTCGATTTGGTTTGGATCGCTAATGGAAATGGTTAAACAAACAACACCTTATCATTGTTAGAATCCCAACTGCGTGAAAGCAGGCTATCTAGCCCAACAGCCCTCTGAAAAGCATTCTCACCCAGAGCCTCTCCCCTACCCTGTAACCCCATGTTTCCCATGGCTAACCCACCTAACCTGCACACTGCAGGGCAGTTTAGCCTAGCCAATCCACCCTAGCCTGCACATCTTTGGACTGTGGGAGGAAACCCACAATTACACCTAGAGAATGTGCAAATTCCACACAGACAGTCGCCTGAGGGTGGGATCGAACCCGAGTCCCTGGCGCTGTGAGGCAGCAGTGCTAACCACTGGGCCACCATTGTCATTGGGTGGGGGCAGGGATTGTTCGATTCTTCTACCTTATGGGTCTCCACGGTGACTGTAAGGGTTGCGGGGGGGTGTGGTAGCGCGGTGTAAGAGGACGCGAGACCAGGAGAGCTCTGTCACTCACACACAGGCCCAGCCCGGACTTACCCATCGAGCACTCGTTAATGTCCTGCTTGCACGACAGTCCTGTGAAGCCGAGAGGACACTGGCACATGGCTTCTCCTGTTAGTGGGTTCATCTCGCACACTGCATTCTCGTGGCACGGGTTATTGATGCATGGGTCATCCAGTTGGCAGAACAGACCTGGGGCAAAGGAGCAAATGGGTGACTCAGCGCAAAGCCACTACCTCATCGAAATCTCTACCCAAGAGGTCCTGGGCCGGCTCAGGCATTAAGCTGTGTTCAGCATTTCTAACCCAACATCTACCTCTTGGAGCTTGCCTTGGAAAGGACTCAACGTTCCATGGAATCCACCGGTTTTTCTCATTGGAACAACGCTCCCCAATTTCGCTCCTGACCGGGTCAGAATTTAATTTTAACATGATCCCTCCCTGCTTCAGGGAAAGGCGGTAAATTGGGAACATGGAGTAGGCCGCTCGCTCCCTCGGTTGTGTGTTCTGTCATTCACGAAGAACACAGCTGATCTGGTTGATGGTCTTAGTTCCATCTTTCTGTCTGTCGCCCCAAACTCCTGTCTCTGTCGCTTTGGCACATTGTGAGCTTCGCTCCGCTATGGAAGAGAGGGGAACGCTGGGGAATTCTCGATCTGTAAGCCAAACGTCTGTTGATGGCAAACCGCTTGAGTCGCTGATTGAAGAGAGGGCTGCTGGGTGACTGAACATTTACAGCCAATTAGAGAGAACCAGCTCAGATATTGCAAGTGTCATACGAGCGGAGGTGTTTAATGGGGAAATGGATCATAGAATCCCTACAGTGTGGAGGCAGGCCACTTGGCCCATCGAGTCTACATCGACACTCTGAAGATCATCCCACCCAAACGCACCTTATCAAGGTGAGAGGGGAAAAGTTTAAGGGAGATATGCATGGAAAGTTCTTTACGCAGAGGGTGGTGGGTGCCTGGAACACGTTGCCAGCGGAGGTGGTAGAGGCGGGCACGATAGCTTCATTTAAGATGTATCTAGACAGATACATGAATGGGCAGGGAGCAGAGGGATACAGATCCTTGGAAAATAGGCGACAGGTTTAGATAGGGGATCTGGATCAGCGCAGGCTTGGAGGGCCGAAGGGCCTATTCCTGTGCTGTAATTTTCCTTTGTTCTTATCCTTATAACCCTACATTTCCCATTGCTAATTCCCCCCAGACTGCACACCATGGGGCAATTTAGCGTGGCCAATCCACCCTATCCTGCACATGTTTGGACTGTGGGAGGAAACTGGAGCACCGGGAGGGAACCCACACAGACACGGGGAGAATGCGCAAACTCCACACAGACGGTTGCCCAAAGGTGGGATCAAACCCGTGTCTCTGGCTTTAGGAGGCTGCAGTGCTAACCCACTGAGCCACCGTGCGTTGGTCACTCATTCTAGCCCCCGATCTGCAGCACTGATGTACAGTGTGCCACCCTCTTGTCTCACAGTCAGAGAAAGCAAGTCCCACTTATCTGTGCTCAAGGTTCTAAGCTGACCCCCAGCCCCAAGTCCTGTATCAAGATTGTGGAGCACAAGGTGTCAACTTTCAGATCTGACCTTCAACTGATGCCCTCCCAGTCCTCTCAGAGTGGACTGTCAAAGAAAGGAGGAGTTATAGTCATTGTCCTGACTGATAAATATCCCTCAATCAATGCCAGAAAAAAACATTGATTATCTGATCCTCGCATTGCCGCTCATGGCACTTTGTCAAATTTCCCACCTACGCTTCAAAAGTACTTGAGTGGCTGTAAACCACTTAAATCCCGTAGCGTATGAGATTGCTATACAAATGAATGGCCTTCTTCCAAGTCTCCAAACAGATATGGAGGTGATAGAATGAAACACCGGTGTTGGGAGCTTTGCTCATCAGTTCAGTCCAAACCTCTGCTACAATTCCCAAATCTCGAATTGCTCACAGACGGAATACCCCAAGTGGTATTTCCTGACAGGAATCTCTCTGATTGGCCATTGGGAGTTGACATTACCTGCTTCCGTCATCGCCCAATTGGAGCGAGACTTCCAACGATTGACTGTTCAGTCTCAGGAATAATGTTGACCTCGACCACCCTGATGGGACCAGTGCGCCATTGATGCTAGAGCAATGACGGGTTCTGGTCTCCATCTCAGTCAACAAGTGAGTAATGTCAAAGCCAGTGACCCACCCTGATTCCTGCCCAGTGAGTTCACTCAAATCTGTTCCCACTGCAAAGACAAGATTCCTGCTCTTGATCCCTGGCAAAAGAGTTTGTATGCCTTGACGTTTTTCACACTCAAATTCACTCTGTCCAACCGTCTAGGTGGGTTGAGGTAGATCTCCAATTCCAAACCCCCCACTCCAGACAGACAATAGGAGACCCGCCCCAAGTTCTATTGCCATCCAGGACCCTCCTTACATGGGCAAACCTGGTACAGGGCTTACCTTTTTTACCAGGCGGGCACTCGCACACAAAGTTTGCCACCTTGTCGTGGCAGGTGGCACCGTGCGCACAGGAGGTCTCGGTACAGTCATTGATGTTCTCTCCGCAGTCCTGGCCAGACCAGCCGTTGACGCAGATGCAGCTGAAGCCCCCATCCGTGTTGGTACACGTGCCCCCGTTCTGGCACACATTGGGCTGCAGCTGGCACTCATCCACATCCTCCGTGCAGTAATGGCCTGCAACCCAAGCAGGCAGGTCAGGAGATTGTGCCAGCTGTGGGAAATGCCTCACACAAGACCCCTGCGTTCCCTTTGACCCACAACATGGACCCGCACCACCGCTCCCCCCACCCCAGATCACTGTTTACCAAGTCTACGGGCACATAAGGTGCTGTAAAAATATGATCAAGGCCATTAAGTTCACTGCAATCTCTTCTCCCAGAATCAATGAACTCACCGTGATCTTATCCCATCAACTCCTGAACTCACCGTGATCTTATCCCATCAGCTCCTGAACTCACCGTGATCTTATCCCATCAGTCCCTGAACTCACCGTGATCTTATCCCATCAACCCCCTACTTACTCACCGTGATCTTATCCCATCAGCTCCTGAACTCACCGTGATCTTATCCCATCAACCCCCTACTTACTCACCGTGATCAAATCCCACCAAAACCTGAACCCACCATGACCTTAGTCCGCTGACCTCTGAGGTCATCATGAGCTTACCCCATCAACCTCTGAAGTCACCATCACCTGATATCATTAATCTCTGAACTCGCATGACCTTATCCCATCAACCCCTGAACTTACTGGGACTTTGTCCCAATAACCCTGAACTCACTGTGACCTTACCCCATCCACCCCTGAACTTACTGGGACTTTGTCCCAATAACCCTGAACTCACTGTGACCTTATCCCATCCACCCCTGAACTTACTGAGACTTTGTCCCAATAACCCTGAACTCACTGTGACCTTATCCCATCCACCCCTGAACTTGACACAACCTTGTCCCACCAAACACGAACTCACTGCGACCCTATCCCATCAATGTCTGAAGTTGCTCTGACCTTATCCTGCCCTTCACTAATGTCACCATGACCTCATCTAGTCAACCTTGGATTTCAGAGTGACCTTCTCTGGCTTTAGTCATTCAAAACCCGTCCCAGCAAGGACCATGTACTGTCAACACATCGACACATCGCGACTCTGTGTCGCCAATGTACACAATCAACTACTGCACCGACCCCTTTAACTATGACCATCATCCACATCAGAAACACAGAGGGAGTTGAAAACTCAATGAACTCGATCTGACTGAGACATGGACAGGAAATGTTTACTGACCAGTCCACATCGGGGGACATTTACAATCGTAGCTGCTGACCCGGTCCACACAAGTGCCGCCGTTCTGACACCGGTGTTCCTTACAGTCATCAACGTTCACTTCGCAAAACCGGCCGGTGAAAGCTGTGGGAAACAGATGGGAAAGGTGACAGGAAATGATAATTCCCTCACAGTACTCAATCAGTCATAACATCCATTCAGTCCCAATGATTCGCCCCAATGTAAGGCCGAGCTCAGGGCGCAGCCGTCCTGCCAGAGTCATAGATTTTAATCCCAAACCCCAATCCTGATTTTCATCCCATTGTTAATGCTGACAATCTCCTGGCAGTGCTGAGGGAGTGCCGCACTGTCAGAGGGTCAGTACTGAGGGAGTGCCGCACTGTCAGAGGGTCAGTGCTGAGGGAGTGCCGCACTGTCAGAGGGTCAGTACTGAGGGAGTGCTACACTGTCAGAGGGTCAGTACT